TATATATATATATATATATATATATATATAATGTTCTCTATGCTTCTTGATATAATAGATATACGCCGATCGCTCGAAAAAACATTTCGGTCCTTTGCCGCTTGATTCGGAAATTACGGCAACAGCGTATGAATGACGCAACAGCGAGTCGGCGAGAAGGATTATCTCTCTCTCTCTTAGATTCTCTCGCTGTCTCGTTCGCTCTCAGCGCGCCGAAGGCAAACAAGGACGAACGGTTAGAGAGACAAGGACAGCGCGATTGTCGGCGCGCTCCTGCTCCAAAGTCACACGTACACGAGCTTTGTTTGTGTGAGTGCAAACTGATGTGCCAGGCGGCCAACCGATGGCATTAGTAGCGATGTCGTAAACCGTCTATGGAATGGCATCCCTGGAGCAGCGTCAGTAGTTCCCGAATCGTGACGCCAGGAGGATCGTTCTGTCTCTCTCCAATTTTTCTCGATCTTGACGCAGAGAGCGCTGCGGGTCACTCTCCGTGGTCCGTGCTCTGCATAGATAAACTCGATCCCAGACGGATCGAGAGCTTCCCTAGAGTTGGACTAACTAATCCGCGTCAAGTTTTGGTAATGATTAACGGTTTTTATTGCATCATTGAGTGCAATAACGTGTCGCGTCGAGTTTTAACTATTCCGCGAGACGTATAAACGATTTTGACGTGAGATTTCGGCATCGCGACGTGAGATATAGCTTTCCGCGAGTGTTTGACACGGAATTTCGTATTTTGCGAATAACTTAGATTCCGTTTAGTCTTTGTATATATATATATATATATATATATATATATATATATATATAAGAGTCTTCGCGTTTGCGTTAAACGTATCGTTTTAATTATTAGATTTAAGAGTTTATATTGAATTTCTTTAATAAATTTATAGTTTATAAAAATTTAAAGAGTCGAGTCAGTGTTTTTACTCATTCCCTACACACATATAGGTGGATCCAATTGCTGGGATACAGGGACATACACCGCGGACGACTACTCATCGTTGCAGCGAAGCGGCTATCCGTAATCCGAGGAGATCCGACTGGGGACTGGCGTTTCCTTCTTCGTTGGTGGTAAAACGAAGTGGCGACCGATTCGGATATTGAGATTTGTAAGTTAATGTGGTAAATATTTGAATATTTTCACGTTCCATATTGATGTCCGGTCACAGCATATCACTCCGGTCAAGAAATCCAATCGAGGTCGCAAGCCTATGAAAACCACCATATTGACTTCGCCAGAAAATGTGGCAAACTTACGCCAGAAAGCTGAAGAGAAGCAAGCAAAAGAGGCCAAGAAGCATAAAAAGAAGATGCAGGAAGTAGTCAAATCACCGGCAGCAAAGCGTAGTCGTCGCACACTTGAGGCACCACCGCAAATGGAATCTGACTCTGAAGAAGAAGACTTTTGCACCATCTGTAAAGGTCCCATGCCGAAAAAATTGACAAAAACCAACGCAATTCGTTGCAATGGATGCGACCGAGCAGTCCATTTTAAGTGTGCTCGTGTATTGACCGACGGTTATACTTGCGTTCATTGTGAATCGGAATGAATGAGCAATTTCCCATTTTCAAACTTTTTAAATAAAATTTTCATTTTTTTCCATTTACTTAACTCTAATATATAATAATTATAATACTTTGTCATTTTCTCCGATCACAACAAAGAATTTTCATCAAAAATGAAATTTTCTGCGATTTTTAGTCGTGCTTCACAACTCCCCACGATTTTTGAAAATTCCAAAAAACAGTTTTTTGAGCCAACAGACAAAAATTGCCGATGACTTTGGATTTTATGCAAATCCATCAACCAGGAGGTGTATTTTAAGATGCTCTAGAGATTCGGTTAGATAAAATGTGAAAAAAAAATTTTTTGTGGTACTTTTGAGCCCCATACAAAGCGTGCTTCAAAACTCCCCACTCTCCCCTACCACTATAGAGAACCGACAGTGGCGCCAACGTCGTAGTGGTGGGGATGACGTTAGTAGTATTAGAGGGATTACTAATATTTCGTAAAATAGCATCACTATGAGGAGACGAGCGTGTCACTGACGTCGTAGTAGTGGGGATGACGTCAGTAGTAGAGGCAGTACTATTACTTCGTAACATAGTACCACTATGGGGACCCGCCTGTACCATTGGCATCGTAGTGGAGGGGGATGGCTCCAGTCACGTCACAGGCGGGTCCCCATAGTGGTACTATACTACTAACGGACCTCGGGCTGGGAAAACGCCGGCCGCCCTCCAGCCCTCCGCGTAAAATACACCCCGCGGCCGCACATCACCGTTCAAGTCCGTGACGTATCTCTGGAGGCCCTCCTCGACACCGGGTCCGAACTGTCGTTCATTAACGACGAAACGCTACTCCGCGTAAGCGACATGCAGCTCCCATTAGAAACAACGGAGGGGAAGGTACAGCTAGCCGATGGACAAACGATTACCTTGCCCGACCGTGTCCGACTGCCCGTCGTGATTGAGAACCGCCTTATTTGGCACACGTTTCACGTCATGCCAACCCTGAAGAGCGCGGCGTTGATTGGCGTCGATCTGTGGGCGAAGATAGGTATCGCGATCCCTCCACCGCCGATCACGACCAGCGCGTCCGGCTCCGCGACGACCGCCGTAACCGAAGGGCTCCGCCGGAGGACCGCAGACGAAACGATAAGATTAGGGGAGTTCCTCGGCATCGAGCTGCTAAAATTTGAGGAAGTACG